CGAGTAAAAATTAAACGAGATAAATCATGAGATGTACTAGCTATTTTGAATATCGTTAAACGACCTTGTCTACCGATGTTATCAAGTGTAAATTTCGTTCATCAGTTAATAAACTTTCGAAAGCTAATTGAGATAAATCATTATCATTTTCAATAGTTGACAAAAGAAATTGAAGTGAAGATGAAGAATATTCAAGTAATAAGATGATTTGACGACGTCGATCTAAATATGTAGTCCATTTTGGTGAATTTATTCTATCAAGAAAAGCTATAAAAAACATTCAGATAAGTTTATTTTCATAATAATAATCATCTTACTAACCATCAATAAATCGATGATTTTTATGTTGAAATTTCGCAGCTAATGGTATAATTTCATCAAGAACAAGAAATGTTGTTTCATTTCGAGGTAATTCTAATAGATATTGTTCAAACTGAACTGGTATATAAGGTGATCGAGAAAGATCAATAAATGTTTGAAGTTTATTTAAGAGACGAAATGTTGTACAACGAATTTGACTATCAAAAGCAATCATTGCCTAGAAATAAAAATAAATTTTTTAATCTAGATTTTTCTTATTTTTCTTTTACCTGACTGAAAATATCAACTAAAATATCTAAAATAAATGCTAAATTTTTATTACTTGTATAATTAATATGTGTCCCACCGCCATAGCTGAGTGGTTACGTTGTTCGACACGTATTCACAAGGTACTGTGTTCAAACCTCGGTATCATCAGCTATGGAATGACCTTGGACAAGTCACTAACGGCTATTTGTCTCGGATCACCCATCCGATAGCATGTTGATTACGTGATGACATACAATATAGCTCTTGTAGCTCGTATGTGGTTAGTCAATATGTATGGGGAGCTTAAGTAATTAAGCGAAAAGAACTCTGCGTCAGGCCGGCCTTCTGTGCAGAGCTACAACTAGAAATAGTTTGTAGGAAGAATATCGGGCTTATGAAAATGTCCTTGGACATCACCCTATACTGTGAAAGGTAGCCGAAAGGCGGGGTATTTCTTCTTCTTTCTTTCTTCTAATATGTGTCACATGTGTTAATGTTATTATAGAGTCTAGTATTCGTACAGAACTTCATATTAAATTCTTGTTCTAGATTGATGTAAAAGTAACATCAGAAGGAACATTAGAAAATGCTGA